GCCACTAGAGGCCCTACGAGAATCTGCTCCGGAATGGCCGTCCCGGGGACAATCCATCGGATGATCACAAAATTATGATAAACAGTCTCCTGCTTTAAATTCATGAATTTTGATACCCATATTGCAGGGGTTTCTTCCCAAACACTTCTATGGCCACTAGAGGCCCTACGGGAACCTACTCCGGAATGGCCGTCCCGGGGACAATCCATCGGATGACCACAAAATTATGATAAACAGTCTCCTGCTGTAAATTCATGAATTTTGATATCCATATTGCAGTGGTTTCTTCCTAAACACTTCTATGGCCACTAGAGGCCCTACGAGAACCTGCTCCGGAATGGCCGTCCCGGGGACAATCCATCGGATGATCACAAAATTATGATAAACAGTCTCCTGCTGTAAATTCATGAATTTTGATATCCATATTGCAGTGGTTTCTTCCCAAACACTTCTATGGCCACTAGAGGCCCTACGGGAACCTACTCCGGAATGGCCGTCCCGGGGACAATCCATCGGATGATCACAAAATTATGATAAACAGTCTCCTGCTGTAAATTCATGAATTTTGATATCCATATTGCAGTGGTTTCTTCCTAAACACTTCTATGGCCACTAGAGGCCCTACAAAAACCTACTCCGGAATGGCCGTCCCGGGGACAATCCATCGGATGATCACAAAATTATGATAAACAGTCTCCTGCTTTAAATTCATGAATTTTGATACCCATATTGCAGGGGTTTCTTCCCAAACACTTCTATGGCCACTAGAGGCCCTACGGGAACCTGCTCCAGAATAGCCGTCCCGGGGACAATCCATCGGATGATCACAAAATTATGATAAACAGTCTCCTGCTGTAAATTCATGAATTTTGATATCCATATTGCAGTGGTTTCTTCCTAAACACTTCTATGGCCACTAGAGGCCCTACGAGAACCTGCTCCGGAATGGCCGTCCTGGGGACAATCCATCGGATGATCACAAAATTATGATAAACAGTCTTCTGCTTTAAATTCATGAATTTTGATACCCATATTGCAGGGGTTTCTTCCCAAACACTTCTATGGCCACTAGAGGCCCTACGGGAACCTGCTCCAGAATGGCCGTCCCGGGGACAATCCATCGGATGACCACAAAATTATGGTAAACAGTCTCCTGCTGTAAATTCATGAATTTTGATACCCATATTGCAGGGGTTTCTTCCCAAACACTTCTATGGCCACTAGTGGCCCTACGGGAACCTGCGCCAGAACGGCCGTTCCGGGGAGAAACCTTAAACTGATCCTCAAGTAAGCTGAAATTGTTTTTGAAGGAAATGCTGATACTTTGATATCGATTCCTTCAAAATTCTAGCGAAAGTGCCAAGAAAATGCTTAGTTCTGGAACATTATACAGAAAATCCGGATTTCCGGGAACCAGACTATTCTGGATGGACATTGTTGGCAATGTCCAGAAAGAAGATAAGTTTCTGAATCCATTGGTGCCAAAAGATTTGGAATCGGTTAAAATTGGCCGCAGTAGCAAGCAGTTCAATTTTGTGGGTACCCGGGTACCCTTGTCGAGCTGTTTAAGGGTAAAAAAATTTACGACCCCCCCTTTCTAAGCCCCTTGCTGCAATTTGAAATCTTTCTTCACGAAAAGTTGTCACTCCATGAGTTCTAAGATGTCACTGAATTCTGGTTTCCTGTTGTGAAAATAACTTCGTAATTTATTAATTTGAAATCTGAAAAGGTACCCGGGTACCCTGTCGATCACATAAGGGTTAAAAGAACAGTAACATTGAAGGAAGATGCCGGAAAAATAAAATAAAAATAAAACAGCTTTATTTCTTGCAGTGACCTTTAATTGTCTTTCGTAAATGAATAACACAACATTTGTATTATGCTTTTATAATCTGTTAAAGAAATCCGCAAGGTAGTATGTTGTATTCACTGAAGTCAACATCAGATCGTCACTTTCTTTTCTGTCAATGAAATAAGCGATAGTAGCGTCATGAATTCCATCTGTAATGATAATAGTTGTCATTTTTTTTATTAAGAAAATCATCGCTATAAACAATCTAAATTCACTAGAGGAGGATTAACTGGCTTTAGGTAATACATACACTACCCGCCATAAGTATGAGAAAACAAAATACAATTCGGCAGCAGGGATTTGTTCCTAAATTATCTTGCAACCCTTGCTAGAAGCTAGTATTTCAAATGACTTTTATTTTTGATTCGATTTACGTGCAAAATAATAATTGATTGCATCGCAATATTTTGCACATTTCTTGTTGCCATTCATTAACCAACGAAGATCAATTAATCAATAGAGTGAGAATATTGTTTTTGGTTCCAAAAAACTAGTTGAATTTGAGAAGCACACAAAACAAGGTGATTGAATTTCTGTTCGATTGCAATACTCTCAAATTTATTCTAGTAAGAATAAGAAATCCTCGTAAAAAATCTAATTGGAATGTTCGATTGACTCAGATTTTGACAGTTCATTTGGCTCAAAACATTCTCTCCGCCCATGTCTCCCTCTGAGTATTTCTAGTTCAGACTACAGAGTTATAACATGGTGGCGCTATCTTGATGGTGGTTTCTGTGTTGCAATTATTTGACAACCGTTATAACATGTTATAACTCTCCAGTCTGTACAGCGTTTATTGTTCGCTTGTTCGATCGACGCTTGAGTATTGTTCAGCGGTTTGGAACCCAAACTACAACAACGGTGCCGAGAGAATTGAATCTGTTCAACGTCGCTTTCTTCGTTTTGCGTTGCGTAGATTTCCTTGGAATGATCCGTTTCGATTACCCAGTTACGAAAGCCGTTGTCAACTTATCGACCTAGAACTTCTCCGGACTAGAAGAGACACAAGCAGAGCCCTAACCGTGGCCGATATCCTGCAAGGAAGGACAGATTGCGAGGCTATCCTAATTCAAATTGACCTGAATGTTCAACCCCGACGGCTTCGTAATAACCTTATGCTAAGACTGCCTCTACGTCGCACAAATTATGGAGCGCACGGTGCGATCTCCCGTGATGCGCTTCGTCGAATGTTTTCTTCTGTTTTTCGCCGGCAGGAGTAACTGACTATAAGATATATGTTTTTTTTAATGTTTTTTTATGTTAAGGTTAACATCATTGGGGCTTCATCCAGCCTGTTGATGTAAAACAACAATAAAACAATAAACCTAATTAGGTACTGCAGCGTGACGTCACGGATGAACTCAGTGTTAATCGGTTGCACCTTTTTGACAGTTCAGTGGTACTGTTTACACGCACTTAGCCGTTTTTTCGAAAAAAAAAAATATTCTAAAATTTTCGAATTTAAACTTGAAAATTGTTGAGGAACAGCGCGTTGAAAGGATGTTGCTCGTGGACATTGCAGAAGTGTGGTTTACATCAGTGTTCATTATGGTGGAGCAATTTGCAACACTAACACGTTGATCACGCCATATTTTTGCATGGGTTGTAGTGACCGCCACATTGAAACAATATTTAAAAAAAAATACAGTTGAGTCGGTAACCTTTTTGAAAAATTACAGATTTCTCGGTAATTTTCGATTTGCATATCGTCCTCAAAATTACAGTTCTCCGGTAAAGTCGACTACAAATCAAGCAATGCACATGCGTTCTTGGATTTTTTTTTATAGCATAGTATTGAATAGAGCTTCCGGTAGTCCGTACAAAAGAAGGCCGGCATTGTGTGGCAGCAGCAATGAACAATTGTGTGAGGCTAGCAAAAAGTGTATAAGAGCATTAAGTTCATCATTGAAAATTTATAGCGTGCTAAAGCTAAAGAAACACGAAAAAAGTGAGTGAGCGAGAGGCAGAGCCGAGAAAACGCCTTTGGAATTCGACGACCTTGAGTGACCGGCGTGATAGCAAGCGGAAAAGAAAACGAGAAAGAGTGACGACTAAGAGCAAGCGGTTCGTAACACCTTTGTGAGTGAGCAGCTCATAACGCCTTCGTGAGTGTAACGCCGGTGGTGAGTACCACTGACACATCGAACGCGAACAACAACGTGGAACAGTAAGAACATAAAGAAGTCAAGTAAGTCATTTTAAGCATCTATCATAATTGAATCATTCTAGGGTGGTTTCATCAATTGTTGGCTTTCATTTGCTACGATGTCCTCTTTAATCGGAAGCGTGGACCATTTTTTACATGGTTCCAGCTTTTCCAAACATATGGAACGCATGAATATTTTATTTTCTTTAAATAATATTTCTGAAGCTAAAAAAAAAATATTCATTACCTTGAGTGGACCAATTATTTTCGATGAAATAAAACTAATTTACCCGGAGACAGATATAAATGAAATTGATTATGTTCAGATGATAGAGGAATTAAAGGAACGACTAGATAAAACGCAGCCAAATATGATGTACAGGCACAAATTCAATGGTCGCATTCAAGGAGTAGATGAGCCAGCAGAAAATTATGTACTAGCATTGAAATTATTAGCAAGTCAATGTGGATTTGGAGCGCATAAGAATGAAGCGATAAAGGATAGAATAGTGTTTGGATTACGAGATCAGGATTTGAAGCATAAGCTTTTAATGAAAGATAACATGACATTGGAAGAAGTAGAGGAAATTGTAGTAAGAATAGAGTTAGCAAAACTTAGAGCAAAAGAAATGAATGAGCAGAACGTGGAATATTGGAGCGTGAAATCGGTGAAATATCGGTTAGGTCAAGGAGGACAACGGGATGGTTGGAACAGGGATAATAGACCGAGATCGCGAGGCTACAGTAGACAATATAGTAGTCGCAGTAGAAGCACGAGTAGGGAACGCGGTCGTGTATCTCCGTATAATAACCGGTTTGATCACAGAACATATTACGAGGGTAGACCAAAAGCAAATTATCAGGAACGTCGTGGATACGGATCAGAGAATCCCCATGGAAATGTTATTTGTAATTATTGTAGAAAACGAGGACATGTAAAACGTAATTGTTTTCAGCTACAGAATCGTAAAACAGTAAACTTTGTAGACGAAGAGCCGATTGACAGCTATGATTTTAAAAAATTACGACTAAGAGATTCAGAAGACGGAAACGAAGATTATCCATGCATGATGATTTCAGCAAGCAGACGTTTTAACGAACCGTGCCTTGTAGATGTGACAGTTGAGGGAGTGCATTTGAACATGGAAATTGATTGTGGGACAGCAGTTTCGGTGATTAGTCTGAGCACTTATACAAAATATTTCAAGCACATTCAAACCACAATTTGCAATAGTCGTTTGGTGGTGGTAAATGGACAACAACTGAATATTTTTGGCAAGGTCTCAGTAAACGTGAAAGTAAATAACATGCAGCAGCAAGTTTCTTTAATAATTCTCGACGGTGCCAGAAGTTTTGTTCCTTTGTTCGGTAGAAACTGGAGGGAAACGTTTGGAAATCCCATAGTCGTTAACATTGTCAGGAAGGAAGTTCAGCAAACGGATCTAGCTGGTAATGTTGAGTCTAATATACGGTTACAATATCCAAAAATATTTGATAGTGATTTTTCAAATCCTATAATAGGATTTGAGGCAAATCTTGTGCTTAAGGATGAAAGACCGGTGTTTCGAAAGGCATACGAGGTACCCTTCAAAATAAGAGAGAAGGTCATTGCTCATTTGGATTCCCTCGAGAAACAAAATATAATAACGCCTATTCAGGTTAGTGAATGGGCTTCCCCGGTGGTCATAGTTCTAAAAAAAGATAACGAAATTAGAATGGTAATAGATTGCCGAGTGTCTATTAACAAACTAATAATTCTTGATACATATCCTCTTCCATTAGCACAAGACATATTTGCTTCATTGTCTGGTTGCAAATGGTTTTGTTGTCTTGACTTGGCGGGGGCGTACACACAACTACAACTCTCGGAAAGATCTAAGAGATTTGTAGTTATAAACACTATAAGGGACTATATTCCTACAATCGCTTACCTCAAGGGGCTACATCCAGCGCTTCAATTTTTCAAAAAATAATGGATCAGATTTTGATTGGATTAAAACATGGAACTAGGGAAGTATGTGAAAAACAATTGCATTTGGGGCTTGATAGGTTAGAAAAATTAAATATAAAGGTAAACTAGCAAGGACATTTGATAACAGAAAGTGGTCTTCTTCCATCACCAGATAAGCTATCGACTATTAAAGAAGCAAAAGTTCCAAAAAATGTGACTGATTTAAATTTAAATTTGAATTTGATTAATTTTTATGGGAAATTTGTTTCTCATTTGTCTGCCAGGTTGGCTTGTTTATATGCTTTGTTAGACAAAGATACCAGGTTTATTTGGAACGATGACTGCCAGAAAACATTTGAAGAAAGCAAAAAGGCTTTGCTTACTGCTAACCTTTTAGAATTTTATGACCCATACAAACCCATAATAGTGGTATCTGATGCTTGTAGCTATGGACTTGGAGGTGTCATAGCTCACACAATTAATGGACAAGAGAAACCGATAAGTTTTGTCTCATTTTCATTGAATTCTGCTCAAAAATCTTATCCAATACTATGTAGTATTGTAGTATTGGATAAGATTTTTGAGCAGAATTCAATGAAAATGAGACAAAACTTATCGGTTTCTCTTGTCCATTAATTGTGTGAGCTATGACACCTCCAAGTCCATAGCTACAAGCATCAGATACCACTATTATGGGTTTGTATGGGTCATAAAATTCTAAAAGGTTAGCAGTAAGCAAAGCCTTCTTGCTTTCTTCAAATGTTTTCTGGCAGTCATCGTTCCAAATAAACCTGGTAAAAGATTCCATAAATATTTATTTGGCCAAAAATTCACTATTTACACGGATCACAAACCACTGTCAGTTCGCTTTCAGCTGTGGACGGACACAGCAGCATTTTTTCTCGGTGTCGATAGTGCTATCGGCAGCCTGTTTTTCTACCAAGCTATTGTGTGTTGCGCACATTGTTTATCCGCAGTTAGCTAGCCGTGTGTGGAATCCTGTGGATAGAATCAAGAATGAATGGAGTTGAAGTTAAAAACACCGTCAAATTTAGCTTTGGCGATGGAGCTAGAAAACCGTCGATGGGCGAAATTATTCATTTCGCGAAGACTCTGGATGCGGATCCTATGCAGATGGAAGCTATATACAGGGTAGCGGAGGAGAAATCCTTGTTTATTAAATTCAAGGTCGAAGAGGCAATGTGTCACACATTGATGAATAACAGTAAACAATTAACTTTCCGTTATGACGATGGAAAGGCAGTAGAGGTACACATGTTGAATGCGGATGAATACATTCAGTATGTCAGAGTGTACGATCTGCCTCCTGAAGTGCCTGACAAAAACCTAGCATTGGATAACGTGTGGTTAGGGAGAAATTTCCTCCCGAGTTAGGTTTTGATATATACACTGGCATCCGCGGTGTATACATGGATGTTAAGAAGGAAATTCCTACATCACTGCATTTCCTCAACCGTAAAGGAAACGTGTTCTATCCCGGGAACAAGAATGTGTGCTTTGTTTGCAAGATTGAGGGGCACCAGATGAATTCTTGCTCAAAGCGGGAACCTCGCAGGACACAACAACAAACGAAAAACAACAAACGACGGATACGGAAAAACGTGACCCGGACGAAGCCCAAAGTGTTAGCAGCGTGGATACCTGTACATCATATGCGGGTGTTTTAGCCGGCGATGCTTCAGCGGATGCTATTGAGGTGTTCGATGAAGAAGTTATGGCAATCGATGAGACGACCCCGGACATGGAAGAAGAACAAGAAGCAGCAAGAGGAAGTCAGCTTGAGACCGAAAGCCATCCATTGTTCTTGATCGCGAAGAAATTGAAAACTGCTATTGAAACACAGAAAACGGAAGAAAGAAGAAAACTGCGGCCATGAGAGAAAGTTAACACCAAACAACCGACTTCTAGGAAAAAATGAACTAATTTTATAAACTCTTTTATTTCAAATTAATGAAAAATTGTAAGAATCGGCTCCGTAAAGCTAACGCGTTTGAGCCTTACAAATAAATTAATGGATAAAAAAAAAAACAAACCACTGTTAGGAATTTATGGAAAAGAAGGGGAAAATCAGATTTGTGTTACAAGACTGCGGTGAAAAGATTCCATAAATATTTATTTGGCCAAAAATTCACTATTTACACGGATCACAAACCACTGTTAGGAATTTATGGAAAAGAAGGTTTGTGTTACAAGACTGCAGCAATATGTGATGGAAATGTCCATATATGAGTTCGAAATTTGTTATAGGCCTTCATCTCGAATGGGAAACGCAGACTTTTGTTCAAGGTTTCCTCTCGAACAAGGTATTCCTAAAAATATTGACAGTGGCAGTATAAAAAGCATAAATTTTTTCGGCGATTTTCCGCTTGATTATTCGCAAATCGCGAAAGAAACAAAATCTGATTCTTTTCTTTCTAAAGGGTGTCCACGATGAAATTGCCACACTATGAAATTGCTCTAACTTTTTAACCGTTGGGTAGAATTTAATGAAAATTTGGGTGGATTTAGTTCATAGTTCATTATTTACATCCTGCAAGTTTTAAAGTCCTGTGATCAAAACTCGCGGAAATGGAGTCGAAAGAACAGCTCGTGCGTGATAAAATCTTGCGCATTCATCACGAGAACAAGGATCTCTCGCATCGTTCCATCGCTAAAACGTTGGGAATCGCGAATTCCACGGTGTCGCGAGTGATTAAGCGGTTCGAGGAACGGTTCACCACCGATCGGAAGCCCAGAAGTGAAGGAAAAAGTATTCCGTACAACACCAAAAATCACAACCGCGTAGTTGGGGCCTTCAACCGAAATCCGAACGCCTCCGTTAGGGATGTGGCTAAGAAGCTGCACCTAAGCCGAAGTTTTGTCCAGAAGGCCAAAACTAAGGCTGGGCTTCGAACGTTCAAGGTACAAAAGGCCCCTAATCGCGACGAGAAGCAGAACAAGTCCACCAAAACCCGTGCCAGGAAGTTGTACCTCAACATGCTGACGAAAGTTGAATGCTGCATCATGGACGACGAAACATATGTGAAGGCCCACTTCAAACAGATCCCCGGCAACCTGTTTTTCACGGCCAAGGATAAGTTCAGCGTTCCGGAGCATGTCCGCACTCAGAAGATGTCCAAATTTGCGAAGAAATTCCTGGTTTGGCAAGCCATCTGTACGTGCGGGAAGCGGAGTGCACCTTTCGTGACCCAGGACACGATGAACGGACAGGTGTACATAAAAGAGTGCCTCCAGAAGCGGCTGCTTCCTCTCCTGAAGGCCCACAACGTCCCAACAATCTTCTGGCCGGATTTTACCTCATGCCACTACTCCAAGGACGTGCTGAAGTGGTATGCGGACAATAAGGTCAATTTCGTGCCGAAAATGTTCAACCCTCCCAACACTCCGGAGCTCCGCCCCATCGAGAAGTACTGGGCGATTATGAAGCAGCACCTTCTTAAACGACCTAAGGTAGTGAAGACAGTCGAGGAACTGAAGAAAGTATGGGTTTACATGCAAAAAACGGTTGATTCACAGGTTGTGCAGAATCTTATGGCCGGGGTTAAGGCCAAGGTGCGGGCATTTGCGTATGGACTGTAAATAAAATACGAGTAAAATGGTAAAATGAAGTTTAATAGTTATTTCTCAATCCCTGAAAATTTGATGGGAATCGGATGAAAACTCGAATTTTGCGAATCAATTTTGTGTGTGGCAATTTCATCGTGGACACCCTTTAAGCTCGTTTGTTACATTGAGGAAAGATGGCCTAAAACTATTGATAAAATTTGGAAACCAGTGTTTTCTTTACGTTATGATCTGGAATTGACAGAAGGTTGTATTTTGTATCAAGACTTAGTGTTTATACCTCAATCCCTTCACAATCCTATTTTGAAATTGCTCCATTATAACCACAATGGGATTGTTAAAATGAAGCAGACAGCACGTCGCTGTTTGTTTTGGCTAGGTTTGAATGAAGATATAGAAACATATGTAAAAAGATGCCAATCGTGTTTAAAAACAGCAGCAATACCTAAACCTTACTGTAATACTTCATGGATTCCAACAACTCGTCCGTTTAGCCGTATTCATGCAGATTTTTTCTACTTTGAATCTAAAACATCCTTGTTAGGTGTTGACAGTTTTACAAAATGGCTTGAAATAGAAATTATGAGGTATGGAACAGACGCTAACAAAGTTATAAAAAAAAATTAATTCAATTTTTGCAAGGTTCGGTTTGCCGGATGTCTTAGTGACGGATGGAGGCCCACCATTCAACTCTACACATTTTTGCTCATTTATGACGAATCAAGGAATAAAAGTTATGAAAAGCCCTCCATATAATCCGAGTGCTGAAAAAGTTTATTTTAGATCCTGACACACGTTCTTTAGGCATAGAAGACCTAGAGTCGGTGTATAATGAGTCACGCCAAGAGTGAAGCCAAGTCTACCTATTGAACTGTCAAACCGGCTACCTATCGTGCAAAGTAAACAAACATTACGATGCTATGAAAGGTCCACGAAAGGTATTGCAATAAAATATAAAATAAAATTGAAGAAATGATCATAAACACGCAGAGAGCATTAAATTGTCATGGGATACGTTTGCTAATGATCAGTAATGAGAATTTCTACTATTGTTTGATAAGATAATTTGACAAAATCACTGATATAATGATTCACTACAGCCGCAATTTTTTGTTCTAGCTAGAAGTCATTTGAAGTTGATGCAGAAGTCCTCTGTTGCCAAGTGAAAAGAAAGGGAATCCTTCGAAAACCGTGATGCGAGTTCAACTGTTTTTCTCTTGGCGTGACTCATTATACACCGACTCTAAGAAGACCGAGTTACATTGTTTTTATCTAATTATAGAAATACATGTTCAGCTAACGACGAAAGACTACCGTCTGAAAAAACTATTTAGCTTTAAGCCTAAGGTTTTAGTCGATCTTTTGCATCCTAAACGAGGCTATAAGCATTATCTCCAAGCTCCTCTGGAAAAGGAAGAGACTTTAGTAGATAAAAGTACGCCCTCCCAAGATCCATTTATCAAATTGGTTTTGGGGAAT